AACTACAATTCAAGGAGTATGCTAACTGAAGAAGATTATTATTCTTCTACACAAGTCATTCAATGTAACAATATGTAAAGTTGGAGATGTAAATGTTTAAAATCTTAGAGTGCACCTATTATATAACTTTTTGCAAACTTAAAAATATTACCTAAAATAATAATTGTATAGAACCTCGAAAAATATCAAGGTACATAGTTTCAGAAACCATCAATTAAACCATTATCTCCGTAGTATACTTCCGTCAGTCCTCTGCTGACGGTCCACAGAAAATTAACTCAGGTATTTGTCCTCCCTGTACACCTGTACCATTCGTACTTTCTGAACTACATTGAAATTGAAAGTTTACATTACCAACTGTTATTTCTGACATGCCTTCTTGACCAAAATAGCTCAACTCTCCTCCATCTAATATTGCACTAGCTGTATGATAGCATTCTGGTTCGATTTGAATTGGATTTTCAAAATACACGTGAAACGTACTACTCGAACCATCGGAGAAAAATTTAGTGCTATTTTCAGATAAAATGATCCCCAGTCTTTTTAATTCAATTCTAACATTGTAATCCGCAGCACCAGATGAGCTTCCATATAGTCCAAGACCAACAAGAAAAATTCGCTTGTCAACACAAAACTGAATTGAATCGCATCGACCTCTGTAGCGCCATTGATTTGATCTGTATGCACATGACTGAAACCTGTGACACACCTGAAATCAGAAAATTAATTTTAGTGTTAACTCACATGAGATTCAGAAACGATTACTTAGTGACAGAAGTAATTAGCTACCAATAATATTAAGAAAACATTTTCCTTTGTAGAATTTACCTGAGTTTTTAAACCTACTCGAGGTTTAATAGGAAAACACAGCTGAGGTTTGTTACTAGCAGTGAAATGCAGAAAAACATCGATTGTTTCTTGTTGAGTTAAGATGCCTGTTTGTGCAGCACTGTTGGCAAATTCTTCCAAATTCATGGCAGGAAGTCTAATTAAATACAGAGCAGATCCTAAAATAGAAAATGGAGACAGTACTGCCAGTTTTATATTTTAAAAATAGTTATTGTGATACTTACCCAATAGTCGTCTTTGATTTGCTGCTGAGGGTTCCAGTTCTTGCCTAATACATTCTGCAGTAGCCCATCGCAGAGCAGCATCCCATATATGAATTTCTTTACAGTTCAATGTTTCTCGAGAAAGTACTGACTCAAGAGTATGTATATCAATATCCACAAAACCATCTGATCTTAGTGCCATTTGAGCCTGAATAATGAGTTACATATATATTTATAATTGAATAATATATATTTATACATTTCCTAATTTTACATAAATTGAACTTCTATTATATTTTACATACTATAAGGAAAATAGAAAATACATTTTCCTAAACAAAACTGAATTATTTTTTTGAAAAATTACATTTAAAAATTTCATTTACCTTCCGTTTAGACAAAATATTTATAAACTATCATAATAAACAAAAATGCAATTCTAAATTCTCGATTTAGTATCTATTATATATCAAATACATACAAGTTAATATTGTATTCTGTATTAAAA